GCACCAGAGCAGCATGAGCAGACCTAACTAATCAATCACAGCACTCTGTTAAGCAGAACACCACACTGTGTTGCTCTCCCCACAGCCCTCATGGGAGCCTTGGCTGTCCTGGGTCTCTCTCTCCTCATTGGCTGAGACACAGATTGCTATCAATCACAGCCACTGAGCCAATGAGGAGAGAAAGGGAGGCAGGGCCGAGCAGTGGCTCTATATATCCTATGGATGCATAGAGTTGGGCTTGGGAGCAAGCACACACCAGTGCCCCAATAATAAACGGATTGCTATTGGAGGCACTTGTCAAGGGGAGGAGCCAGGAATGCTGGCAGGGAACCTGAGAAGAAGGTCTGGGCTGCTCTGTGCAAAACCATTGCTCAGAGCAGGTGAGTATGACTTTTTTTTTTTTAATTGACCTTCAGAATCGCTTTAAGGAATCTCTATGATATTCTGTGCAAGCCATGCAATGTGAAGTTTCATTTATATGTTATAAATATATTTGATTGCATTTTCACTATTTGCAGATTTTCATCTGACTTTAAACTGCCCCAAAGTTTAAATGAAGTTTCAAAATGTGTATGAAGGTTCCCTTAAGAACATTTTTGCCATATGTAATAAACCTACGGTATATACTGTGTTTGCAATTGTACTAAAGAAGAATCAATGAATCAAGAATCAAGAATCACACTCAGCAAAGATTTAACATGCTATATTATATACAGTAGTAACCTATTGGACAAGGCTCACCAGAAGACCATGGTCTCATAATTACGTCTCACAGCCATATTTCTTTGACCTTTTACCCCTTATCCAATACACCAAATAATTCATTATAACCCTATTTATAATGAAACCATGTCTAGTATATATATTGCATTTTAATTATTTGCTTTCCATTAACCCTCTCTCTGCCAGAGCCATTTTTGTGTTTTTTTTTTGCACACATTTATAATAATTTCAGGCCTGAAGATTGCATAAACCCCCAAAATGTGTGGGGGGCCTCAACAATTTTTTTAGTGTGGGGGATTTTATATGTTTGGGTGTAACTTTCATTTTTTTGCAATTTAAAAAAATATATTTTTACTTAACTTTTTTTCATCACATAGGGGACCAAAAGTAAATTTTTGTGGTGACAGGTTCTCTTTAATGACACTTTCAGGTCTAAAATATTGTTTCTCTATATTTTTTCCAGTCGTTTTCCCAGTCTCGAGGCACCCAAGTTTAAGGTTTGGTTCACAGTACGTGATGCGTGTTGGGGAATGGTTGCATAATTGTACACGTTCCCGACATAAAGACAAATGCGCTGCCCTTTAGCAAAAGCAAAGGGGTGTCATTAATTCCTAATACTACCCCCACGCATTGGCAAATGCAGTGTGTTTTTTTTTTTTAACAGGGTCGGGGACTTCTTTCCCTGTTTTTCTGCAGGTAGGGAAGTCCATTGAAATGAATAGACTGCCCTACACAAAGCAGCACAGGTGTGAACTTCCACTTTGGGAGCTCACCTCATCAACCCCAAATCACCACTCTTTTCTCACCTCCATACCCTGAACCCCCTCTCTGCTCACCTCCATACCTGAAACCCCTTTCTGCTTACCTCCACACCCCCCTCTCTGTTCACTTCTGTACCCCAACAAACTCCCTTTCTTCCCTTGCAGTTCACAAGGCTGTGGAAGGTGTTGGCCGAGTGCAGTAAGCGTGGCCAGGCTAATGACAAGTGACACACAGTTGGCTGCAGGGTGTAGCTTAGGATCAATGGCCGCTTGCAGAGTCAGAACCCGGGGCACTCCCCTTCCCCATACCGGCCTTACGTGCAGCCTTGCACCATACCTGGTATTGTCCTGGAGGGGGAGGTAGAGAGCTCAGGAAGCCACCAACCACTTTGCTGTACTGTTACGGCCAAGGTCCTGATGTGCCGATGTTCATTTGGTGGAGCAGGACCTTGGTCAGATCTGACAGCCTTTTTCAACCGTGGCACCCCTGAGGACATCAGGAGGCACCCTGGTTGAGAAAGCCTTGTCAAAAAGACCCTTGATGTCTCCCCTATGTTCCACTGAATATCATGCAATGCAGATCGCTCATTCCAGTACTGTCCAAGCCAAGGTCCTGCTGTGCCGATGTACATTTGGTGGAGCAAGACCTTGATCAGATCTGACAGCCTTTCTCAACCGTGGCACCCCTGAGGACATCAGGAGGCACCCTGGTTGAGAAAGCCTTGTCAAAAAGACCCTTGATGTCTCCCCTATGCTCCACTGAATATCATGCAATGCAGATCGCTCATTCCAGTACTGTCCAAGCCAAGGTCCTGCTGTGCCGATGTACATTTGGTGGAGCAAGACCTTGATCAGATCTGACAGCCTTTCTCAAGGGTGGCACCCCTGAGGACCTCAGGAGGCACCCTGGTTGAGAAAACCTAATCCAAAAGACCCTGGATGTCTCCCCTATGCTCCACTGAATATAATGCAATGCAAATCGCTCATTCCTGTACTTTCCCGGCCAAGATCCTGCTGTGCCGATGTACATTTGGTTGAGCAGAACATTGGTCAGATCTGACAGCCTTTCTCAACCGTGGAACCCCTGAGGACCTCCGGTGGCACCCCGGTTGAGAAAGCCTCGTTCAAAAGACCCTGGATGTCTCCCCTATGCTCAGCTGAATATAATGCAATGCAGATCGCTCATTCCTGTGAAGACTGAGATTGAGATCTGTAGTCATGTTTGCAGCAGTTTTTTCTTATTCCGGGTCATAATCCTGCAGAATATCTCTCTTTTGGTCAGTTGAACATGTTGACCACGCTTATGCTTATCAGATGATTTTTCCCAGAAACTGTGTATCATAACCTTTGATACTGTACCTCACGATGCTGCAAATAAAGTGGCAACTTCAGTCACAGAAGCTCAGTAAACTCTGACATGACTCTGTATTACTAGCAGTGCACACAGTGAATAATGAAAGTGATGCTTCCCATCTGTTAACTAGGTGTCTCATCACACAGCGGAAGCAAGAGAATGTTACATTGCTTCTGCTTTCAACGTGAAACATGTCGTCCCTTTCACACCTGCAAATCATGTACCGTATTTTTTGCTCCATAAGACGCACTTTTTTCCCCCAAAAAAAGGGGGGAAATGGCAGTGCGTCTTATGGAGCGAATGTAAAGCGGCCGGTCCGGTATTTCTGTCGCCACCATGTTAGAATATCGGGTCGGCGGCATAGCTCTTCACTCCTGCAGGACCTTACCTGTTCCTCGCTCCAGCGCTAAAGTCTTCCCGCGGCGGCTTCTGGGACAGCTGGGTGCCCACTGCGCATGCGCGAGAAGCGCTGCGCTTTATGAATGGTCCGGCGTCTTCTGGGACACATGACAGGTCCCAGAAGGCTCCGGGCCATTCACAAAGCGCAGTGCTTCTCACGCATGCGCAGTGGGCACCCGGCTGTCACAGAAGCCGCCGCGGGAAGAAGAAGGAAGGACAACTCCGCGGAAGTGGGAGTACAGTGGGGATCGAAAGTTTGGGCACCCCAGCTAAAAATTTGTATTAATGTGCATAAAGAAGCCAAGAAAAGATGGAAAAATCTCCAAAAGGCATCAAATTACAGATTAGACATTCTTATAATATGTCAACAAAAGTTAGATTTTATTTCCATCATTTACACTTTCACTGCACCCTTTGCCAAGCTGAGACCTGCCAGTGTCATGGATTGTTCTCAATCATCGTCTGGGAAGACCAGGTGATGTCAATCTCAAAGGTTTTAAATTCCCAGACTCATCTGACCTTACCCCAACAATCAGCACCATTGGTTCTTCTAAGCAGTTGTCTAGAAAACTGAAACTGAAAATAGTTGACGCTCACAAAGCTGGAGAAGGCTATAAGAAGATAGCAAAGCGTTTTCAGATGTCAATATCCTCTGTTCGGAATGTAGTTAAGAAATGGCAGTCATCAGGAACAGTGGAAGTTAAAGCAAGATCTGGAAGACCAAGAAAAATATCAGACAGAACAGCTCGCAGGATTGTGAGAAAAACAATTCAAAACCCACGTTTGACTGCACGATTCCTCTGGAAAGATCTGGCAGACACTGGAGTTGTGGTACACTATTCCACTATAAAGAGATACTTGTACAAATATGGTCTTCATGGAAGAGTCATCAGAAGAAAACCTCTTCTACGTCCTCACCACAAAAATCATCATTTGAACTTTGCAAATGAACATATAGACAAGCCTGATGCATTTTGGAAACAAGTTCTGTGGACCGATGAGGTTAAAATTGAACTTTTTGGCCAGAATGAGCAAAGGTACGTTTGGAGAAGAAGGGGCACAGAATTTAATGAAAAGAACCTCTGTCCAACTGTTAAGCATGGGGTTGGATCAATCATGCTTTGGGGTTGTGTTGCAGCCAGTGGCACAGGGAACATCTCACGAGTAGAAGGAAAAATGGATTCAATAAAATTTCAGCAAATTTTGGATGGTAACTTGATGCCATCTGTGAAAAAGCTGAAGTTAAAGAGAAGATGGCTTCTACAAATGGATAATGATCCTAAACACACCTCGAAATCCACGGGGGATTACATCAAGAGGCGTAAACTGAAGGTTTTGCCATGGCCTTCACAATCTCCTGACGTCAACATAATTGAAAATCTATGGATAGACCTTAAAAGAGCCGTGCGTGACAGACAGCCCAGAAATCTCAAAGAACTGGAAGACTTTTGTAAGGAAGAATGGGCAAAGATACCTCAAACAAGAATTGAAAGACTCTTGGCTGGCTACAAAAAGCGTTTACAAGCTGTCATACTTGCCAAAGGGGGCAGTACAAGATATTAACTCTGCAGGGTGCCCAAACTTTTGCAGACGCCATTTTTTTGTTTTCTGTTATTTTGAAAGTGTAAATGATAGAAATAAAATCTAACTTTTGTTGACATATTATAAGAATGTCTAATCTGTAATTTGATGCCTTTTGGAGATTTTTCCATCTTTCCTTGGCTTCTTTATGCACATTAATACAAATTTTTAGCTGGGGTGCCCAAACTTTCGATCCCCACTGTAGGTACCTGTCAAATTCAGGTACCCGTTCCCCCTCCCTCCCCAAAGGTCTGCAGTCTCTGGTAATCTCCTTTACTGTCTGCAGTCTCTGTTCAACCTCTGCACTGTCTGCAGTCTCTGGTCATCTGTACTATGTCCACAGTCTCTGGTCATTCCCTGTACTATGTCCGCAGTCTCTGGTCATTCCCTGTGCTATGTCCGCAGTCTCTGGTCATCTCCTGTACTGTGTCCGCAGTCTCTGGTCATCTCCTGTACTATGTCCGCAGTCTCTGGTCATCCCCTGTACTGTGTCCGCAGTCTCTGGTCATCCCCTGTACTATGTCCTCAGTCTCTGGTCATTTCCTGTACTATGTCCGCAGTCTCTGGTCATCCCCTGTACTATGTCCGCAGTCTCCGGTCATCCCCTGGACTATGTCCGCAGTCTCTGGTCATTCCTTGTACTGTGTCCGCAGTCTCTGGTCATCCCCTGTACTGTGTCCGCAGTCTCTGGTCATCCCCTGTACTGTGTCCGCAGTCTCTGGTCATCTCCTGTATTGTGTCCGCAGTCTCTGGTCATCCCCTGTACTATGTACGCAGTCTCTGGTCATCCCCTGTACTATGTCCGCAGTCTCTGGTCATTCCCTGTACTATGTCTGCAGTCTCTGGTCATTCCCTGTACTGTGTCCGCAGTCTCTGGTCATTTCCTGTACTGTGTGTGCAGTCTCTGGTCATCCCCTGTACTGTGTCCGCAGTCTCTGGTCAACTCCTAGTTACACAGTTCATGAGAATATACAATAGCTATCATACTATTACCTAAAGAAATATTTCCTGGTGACTGTTCATTGTACTATATTGTATCAGGTGACATCACCTCTTCTTTGAATGTTAACTCCTTTAATGGCTGCCAGCGGAGTGGCTTCCTGATCACTTGACCACTATGATTGGCTCTCACAGCAGTCACATGACCGGGTGCTTGTCTTGCTGCTCCCGATCAGAAGCTGTGATGAAGATCTGTTGGACACAGCTCAGTCAGTGAACAGGCAGCACAGTATCAGCACACAACCTCAAACCACCATAGACACATATGTACACCTGCCGAAAGTTAAAGACCACTTTTTCCCCACTGCATATATGCATTACACAGTCACATTAAGAAGTCCTTTAGTCTTTAATCCAATTTAGTAAATAGTGTGTTGATTTCCTAAAACTGGAGAGTGCAAAATCTTATGCAGCTGTGCATGGTAGCCAATCAGCTTCTAACTTCAGCTTGTTCAATTAAAGTGCTACTAAACCCACAACAGTAAAATCAGTCTGTATATGCAGTATAGTATGCTTGTTATACTAACTATGAAACCTAAGGGGCTAATCCTCTGCATTGTCTAAAAATGCTATTTGATCCTGACTTCTCTGATCCCCCCTTCTTCCAGTGTCCCCCTCTTATCTCCTGATAAGTCGTATCATGTGGAGACACTCTGCACATGCTCAGTTTGGTGTGTATTGCTAAATAGTTGGGTTTTTTTCTTGAGAGAGTGCATGTGATCACCACAGGGCCAATCAGCACTGTCCAGACTGAGGTCAGGGGTTCTACATCCTCCTAGAGCAGAAAGAAAACTCCTCCTACAAGCTTAAACCAGTGCTGTGCTACACTGATAGAAGTCACAAGACTGATTTAACTGCTGATGAGAAAAGGTATTGAGCAGTTTATATTTACTAAAATAATTGCATTTCCATGTTGTGTGTACTGTGGGAGACCAGATAGAGTGAATGTAGGGTCCCGGGTTTAGTAACACTTTAAGCTTTGACAATAAAACCTGGAAGCTGCACCAGATTTTACACTCTCCAGTTTTAATAAATCAAACCTAGTGAGTCAGTAGAGTCCATCTGTGAATATCCTCATTGATTCTATGCTCTCATCCTTTAGCCCAATAAGTATGCATTTGATAAGGTTTTCTTAAGGTGGTAGCAAACTGCTGAAAAAAAAACTGGTTCCCCTGTGGTGTAAAGTCTTAATGTACTAGTATTCTCCACATACTGGCACATTATGAAAGACTTACCTGTGAAATAGATCCCTCCAGCAGCGCCCTGTCACCACTGACTGGGAATCCATCTTTACCCAGTCTTCTTCTGGGTTCGCTGGCTGTGGCCGCTTGAATGGCTAAACCGCAACAACGTCACTTCCGCGCATGTAGAGCAGCAATCCATGTTTACGCCACAGGGCACTGAAGGAAAGGCACGGGTATGCCAAAAACTTAAAGCGGAACTTCCCCTTTTGGGTGGAACTCCGCTTTAATTGAACAAACTAAAGTTAGAAGATGATTGGCTACCGTGCAGAGCTGCACCAGATTTTGCACTCTACAGTTTTAGTAAATCAACCTCATATAGCTTCCTTTTTGTATATTTAATAACCACTGGGTTTTTATTGTTTGCTTTATAAATGAAAAAAAAAAATACTGAACATTTTGAAAACAAAAAAACATGTTTTTCTTGGCTTCTGTTATAAAATGTTGCAAAAAAACCCCAAGCTTTCTTCATAAATGTAAGCCAAAATGCAATTCTTTGGTAAACATAACCCAAACCAACGTGTAACATTTAGTCTGTGTGAAAGTTAGAGTCTAAAAACTATGGTATATATTTGAAAATTATTCAATCCTGATTTATTGATGGCCTATCTCATAAAATGCCAAGACAGTACAAATACCCCCTAAATGACCCCTTTTTGGAAAGTAGATAGTCCAAAGTATTTAGTAAGATGTATGGTGAGTTTTTTGAAGTTGTAATTTTTTGTCACAATTTTTGGAAAATAAAGAAATTAATAATTTTTTTTCACTTTTTCACATACTGTCACCAGAGCAGTACAGCATCATCATATGACTGCTGTGGGGAGGTGATTAGTATTGATTTTTTTTTTTTTTTTGCTTATTACGATGATCACTGTTATAAGCAATCATTTTTAAGAATGGCTTTCATTCATGTGCCATTGTGTACAATTGTAATAGCTGTGATTGGCCACAGCTATCACATGTTACAGATGCACTGTGATTGGCCCTGTCTGCAATATGTGATCACTATGATTAATCACAGAGATAACAATAGTACACAATGAATGGCTATAAATGAAAGCTATTGTGTACAACTAATGTGTAATTGGTCACACTGATCCAGGGGCGGACGGACAACTCATGGGGCCCCCGGGCAATAGGGGATCATGGGGCACCCTGTGTCCTTGCCCAAACTCAAAAAAGCCTATGAAAAAGGTACCAGGGGCATCTCATGGGGCCCCCTACTGACCCGGGCCCTCGGGCAGTGCCCGTGTTTCCAGATGGTCAGTCCGCCCCTGCACTGTTCACATGGTACCAGGGCCGGCCCGATACAATGGTCTGGTGACAGATCACACCGCTGCCAGGCTCTTAGGGCGTGCATGAGTTGCGCATCTGGAGGACATCATAGGAGGTCCACCCAAGATAACTGCACTCGTTCGGTTATTTTTATTATAATAGGCTGGGCGGGAGGTGGTTACACTGGAGCTGAACGTAACAAGTGAAGATTTGTTGTCTCATAGGGGATATCTAAAAATGTTAATTGTGCCTAAGCAATACCATGAAAAATTTACCTTTAGTATACACTTCCTCCTAAAATATTGCAGTGCATTTACAGTGCCTAGACATTCCTGTGCCTTGAGCTCTGTAACTGTATGTCTGCAGTATTAGATCACATAGGGCTAGGTTCACATCTGTGTGGGTGGTGCCGCATAAAAATCCATGTAGCCGCACCACCCGCACAGAGGACTGCGGACCCGCGGGCGGGTGCCATTATTCTAATGGCATGCTGCCCGCACTGGAAATAGCAACCGTACTGGGAACCGAGGTTCCCGTGTGGGCTGTGTTTTCAGAAGAAGTGCAGGGACTTCTTCCCTGCCTGTCCCGGGGCATGGGAATCCATTCAGATGAATGGGCTCTCATGCCCGCGCAAAACGCGGACCGCAGGAACGTGGATATGTGAACCCCTGACTGCTTGTCTCAGGAGATCTGGAGTGAGATTTGATTTGGACTGCTGTCCTGAGAGCTTTTTGAAAAGGAAGCTGTGCATGAAGACCTCCAGTACAAGTATCTCTGTGCTTTTGTTTCATTCATTCTATGGATCGTTCCCCACCTCCCTTGATTCTTCTTGATGATTACCTCACCAGTCATCAGATCACCAGTCATCATGGGTGCAGATCTGAAATGAGAAAGTAAAGCTGTGCTCCTCTACCAAGATGGCTGGTTTTACCCAGAAATACCACACAGAACAATGTATGGTAAGTCAGAAGAAAGGAAAAGATCAGCTGCAGGGATCCTAAAGACAGTAATGGTGACTAGTCTTTTATCCTTTGTTTGCTTTTTTTAGGTACATTTTTACATTACAGGTCCTCTTTAAAGAAATAATATATTTTGCACTACCTATTTAAACATGATGATCAAGGATACACACACAAATAGATATTAAAATGACTACTTATAGCTTAAAATACATATAATTGTAATCATATTTATTTAGAATGTGAGCATTCATATAGAAACCGTTAAAATTATACACTGTCATGTAAAATAGATCAAAGACTAAAACTGTCATTGACATGTTAACACAAGCTGACCTCACCCCTAGGAAGTTGCAATTCGAGATGAACAACTAGGTGTGTCAGATCCACCCATGCACAATATTTATAGTGAATATTAATCAGGTAGAATTTCCTGGTCTATAAATGCTTGTTAACTTTGTAAAGAGTAAAAACAAATGTGCAGCCTTGTTAAAAATAGAATATATAACATAATGTAATATATGGCTTTAAATAACATGATTATATACAAATCTGTACAGAAAATGTGCGAAACATATATTAAGGTAGATGTGTATTATTACATTGATGGGATAAACAGAACATAAAAAACATTTATTGTAAAGGAATAATTATGCAGAAAACAGACATCTTTAGTAGAGAAGTGTGAAGAGCCAATCATAATATTCAAAGTGCAGTAACACAGAAGCAATCTGATTTCGGTTTTCTCATTGCAGTGATAAATGATTTTGTGGTTACTGTTAATGTACCTTGTACACATTCATTGCTCTTTATATGTCTTTTTTTGAATAAGCCCACAAGGTGACATTTGTATATCAAATGTGCCACCAGATACATGGCAATTACAAAGTAAATAGTGTTATGACCCCTGTTTTCTGTGATTACTCACACAGCATTGATTTGATATACAACAGGAAAAGCACTGTGTGCAGAAATTGCTGCAAGTAATACATTTATTATACAGGAGCTAATTATTTGCAACAACATCAAATTGACTGCAGTCAAATAATTGATGTTTATTTTCCACAGGAATTAAGAGGTGAAGAGTAAAGTCATGATTTGATGTCCTATGTAAGACCAGCTCACTTTATTTTAACTAACAGAGCGGATGTGTTATTGCAAAAAATACTTCATTGTATAGCTGGGATGCTCTAGTAACAAAAAAGTTAACATAACATATTTCAGCTCCTTTTAGTCCTTTAAAAATGTAACAAGTGAATCGACACAACAGTAATATCTCAAATATAGGTGGACACTGTTGGCTTTCATCAGCATATTGGCATACTTTCTCTTATGGGTGGCTGCAAAGAG